ACTCCAACCTGCTGGTTTTCCCCAAAAAAACAAGCAGTATTTTCTTCTGGTGGGAGGGAACCCGGAGGGGAGGGAAGGAGAATGGGTTTTCTGAGCTATTTTAATTATCAATGAACCTAGGAATAACTTAAAGGCCGAACAAAGAGAAGTCACCAAGCTCCCCATGGTCACCTTTCAGCACATGCACCTCAGGCAGCTAGTGCTCATGCAAGAGATGCACGCAGGGCGCTTGATATATGGWCCTGGGGACTACATCCAGCCTGCTTGGACACTTCCCACGGAAACAAGGCTGCTAATTAAAAGTGATTGCTGCTTCCCCTGCCATCCCTGGGCCCTGGAAGGGCTCCCGAGCCCCGTCGCCGCAGGAGGCTGTGTGGATATCAACCTGGTTTCCATCACGCACCGCTCTGCTGGAACGGAGCCTCCAACAAGGCGAATTTCATGTGGCTGCAGCTTCCTTTTTTTTTGCTGTGAAAGCTTCATGCCGCTCTGCTTGGCAATTAAAGAGCGAGGCGCAGRGGCGAGAACGTTCCTACTAATGATTTGCAGCTCGCGCCTTTGAGCCAAGCTGTCTTTGCAAGGCCGGCGTTGAATCATATCGGCCTCCAGAAGCTACCGCAGAAGTTAAACATTAAGTGGATCAAGTTGCTGGAAACTTCGGCTTTTTYTTTTTTTTTTTTTTTTTTTTTTGTGACTGATCATGGGTCAAGGATGCAGTCATTGAGAACATCCTTGATCTCAGGCAACCACCATGAAAATGGCCAAGCCCAGTGAGCAGCTGGCAACAAACCCGGCCATAAATTCAACCACACATGGTGGCTTCTCTGGGGACACGCAGCCCCATGGTCACTGAAATGGTGACGATTTTGGTCCTGGCCCCCGTGGCTGCAGGAGGCACCCAASGGTTTGGTCTGGGTGAGCTAGAAGAGGGTCTTCATGATGAAGGGTCACCTACCACTTTCATAAATCACTTCCAGCCCAAGAGGTCCTAGGAAATATCTGGGCCATCTTGTCCGTTGCCACCACCATCAAGAACATGCCCAGAACCAAATTTCTGTGTTCTTGGGGTTCAAAGCAATTAAACAAACCATCATTTCCCAGTGCACATCTAGGTGGGGAAGGACCAGAATAGGGTTAGGCAGAAAACTGAGGWAAAAAAGGAGAAAACCAAATTATTAACTCAGCCTTTTGGGTTAAGGGTGAAACTGCCCYGGTTTGGGGCTCGTCATTTGGCCCCTGCATCCTGCAGGGTGGCCACAGCTGGCCCTGAAGCTCTTGGGCAGAGTTTGGGGGGCCGAGGCAAGCCAAAGTCCCAAGTGCAAGCAGAATACCTGGCTATAACCCATTGCACGAGGAAAACCACTTCCCAGCAGCTGTGCCAACCAGGGCCGGAGGGTTTGGGGCCAGTGACCAGGATTTGGGAGCCGAGCTGCCTTGGAGGGYTTGGGCAAGGGCAGAGAGCTCCAGCTCCTCATCCATCACGGAGCGATTCGTACCGGAGCGAAGGGCAGGCTGAGCTTAAAGATATGGGGCTCCTTCTCACCATTATTATTAATACCCGAGCTCATTAACCTCGCTGAGGGCTGGAGGAAATTGAATCTGGAGAAGCAGCTAAGCTCCGCCTTGGGTTTAAAGCTGTTCGGGGCTTTTGACTTGAAGTGTGTGCTTTTATTATTATTATTTCTTAAATCTCTCCATTCTTTGCTACTGACACCTGGCACCTTTTAGCAGCAGCCTGATGTTAATATATATATGTTAACATATATATAAAATCTTATTAATTGGCTGTCAGCTGATAGGGAGCAGCCGGCTCYAGCCTTGGCGGGGTGCGGTGACCGGTGGGTGACAAATGCCACCTGGGAATGTGGCCAGTGGCATCAATCCGGCCCCATGGAGAGGGGACAGCCCAAAGTGGCAGAGCGGGAGCTATTGCAAGGCTAAATAATAATAATAAAATATATAGAAACAAAATAAAAAGGGAGCGTTTTACAAGCCAGAGTGTAAGGAAATGCACCCCCCTCTTTTGCTTCTTTCCCCCCCATTTATTAAGCAATAATGAAACACTTTTTTCAAAGCTTAGGCACCACATTTCTGACACTGAATCAGCTCTAAAACCAATCAGGAGCTGGAAAAATGGGAAGATAATTAAGGCTGCTGACAGGCCGGTGTCATTAACCTTGCAGCCCAGGTGCCGRGCAGAGCCCCAGCTGCAGGAGATGCTGCATTGGGGGTAGCAGCCCCAGCSTGGGGTGGAATTCAGCTCTTAATGGCCTGTAAGGGCTCCACAGCTGCTGCTGCTTGTGAAGAGGATGGTGGAGGTGGAGGAAGGCCAATGGTGGCTCCTTGTAGCTCTTAAATACCCCTATGCACCAATCTTCCTACCTATGGAAAGTGAGGGTGCTCAGGGCCAGGTAGGGGGTAGTTTTCTCMTCTATTGTTGTTGTTTTTATTAATATTATTATTATTTTGATGATGATGGTTGTGTGGGTGTCTGTTCTGCTACTTCTGTGTATACAAGGTGGGGTGTTGTAGGGCCCCCTTTCCTGCGCCARTTCTGGGCTCCTTGGTAGGATGTGCTGAGATTTGCCAGGCTCTGCTTACACTTTCCCCRTTCTCTGTCTTAATGTGGGACAAGAACCTTGCTGTCTAGGGCTTTCCTCTTTCAAGAGATGTTTTGCACAACTCTTTCTGCAGGGCTTCTGTGGGAAATCACCTTTTGCGTTGCCCCTCTCTGCTGGCGTGCAGCTGGGTAAAGGGCACCCGTGGCTTTGCAACAATCTTGTTTCCCCTTCTTTGCTCTCTAATGAGTGTGTGCACATATATATAATGTGCATATATACATTTTCTCAGAATTTTACCCTTCAGAAAGGAAGAAGCTGGGAAGGGGGCTTCATAGGCCCTTCGCCAGTGTGATGAAGGCTCTGCCTCCTCCTCAGCCTGGGGGCTGCTCTGGCAGGAGCTCAGCCCAGGCTGCACTTTGGCAGCACCTGGGCTCCTGCCAAAGCAATGAGAGCAGCAATCCTTGAACAGGCCGCTTAGCTCGTGACCTAGGGACACGTTTCCAACCTTTTGCAAGGGTCGTTCCATAGCGGGATGCAGGAGGGGAAAAGGATTTGCATGGGGAAAAAAAAAGGCTGTGTCGCGGCCAGGAATAGCAGGCAGGAGTCCCGTGAGCCCGGCTCTCCTCCAGAAGCAGAGATAAGGCCCCTGTGGCAGCGCCGAGCAGCTGATTTTGGGAAAGCACCKTGTAGATCCCGGCAAGTCTCGTCTCTGGAGGTGACCAACGTGCCCAAGCCATCACTTGCGGTGGCTGAGCAAAGACTTCCATCTCTCTTGATGTGGAAAACACCCATTAGGAGCAAACAGGGAGGAAAACTGCTCCTGCTGCCCTTGACTTYCTGATGGGTCTCACACTTTCTCTGCAGTGTTCTCAGTTTGCTGGGTGCAAAACTCCAGCCTTGGACAAGAGCAAAAGTGTCATTAGATTTTTTTTCCCCCCTGTTGGCTCTGGCAGACTTGGAGCATGTCCGGGGTGGCCATGGCCATAGGAACGTGGGGGCTGGCGATGAATTAAAAACAAAAGCAGCATTATCCATAGGGGAACTCGTGATGGTTCACATATCCCAGTAATTCCAAGCACTCTGTGTATACTTCTTACTTGGTTTTAACTTGGTTGCTTTGAGATGCAAATCAGAGGGATTACATTCAGAGGCTGCATCAGAAAGTCTTTAATCCAAATGGGCTATAAGATTTATTTAGAAGAGCCAAATGTCTTGCCTGGGACAGAAGCAACTGAGCTGAACTGAAACAGATGGACATAAAGGAAATTAAACAACTCTAATGGTCTTATCCAGAGTTTCAAAGCATTCGGTCTTCCGAAAGCTGCGGCTCCCGTCGGCACGTGACTGGATGGGAAGCTCGGGTTTCACTTAAAAACAGGCTTTGCAGTTCACTGAGAAAAACAATAATGTTTCTATTCCTCCTGTGCACAGAAAAGGGGTGAAGACGAGAGCCTCACTGAAGGCTCAGCATTTGGAAGGCGAACAAAAATATATTATGTGGGGGTGCTTTATTTGTTCGTTTTGGGCTTTTTATGCCAATGCCATTATTTCTGGCAGCCTGGGTTTGGGATTTGAGGGACCTTGGGGCTGTAGGGATCACAGCCAGTTTGTTTACTGGAAGTTTCCCTGGAGGCTTTGGAGACTTCGTTCCCTGCAACATGCTGCTCTTTCTACTGGAGCCTTCCCTTAGGTCTCACCTAAATCTGGAGCTTAGATAGGACTTTAGCAATGCAGACAGCTCCAAGTGGGGCTGAGGTCCAGCTGCAGTGGATGCACAAAGCCCAGTCTGGATGGTGAGGAGCCCTGGGCTGGAAAGCTCAGCACGAGATTGGATTTGTACCAGGCAAAGGAGCCTTCTTTGGGTCATACTGATGTATTTGGCCCAAGGAAGACTCCTCGGGCAGTGGAAAGAGGTGTGAACAGGGGAAAAAATCCTTGCGATGTGAGCACTGCTGAACCATGAGGCTGGTAAAGTGTCATGGGGAGAAAAGTTTGCCAAACTGGTTTCTATTCTCTTAGCTTTTGCGTTCTGAATCGGGTATGCTTAATGCCTGTTGCTAAAGACTAAAGGCTCTTGCAGAATGTGTTTCTTAAAGTTTTCTGAGGCTCTCGGAGCCCTGCCCGCTTCAGGGCCAAGGAGAAGGCTTGAAGGTGGCCTGGCTTGGTAAGTCAGGCTTGCCTGGCTTGGTAAGTCAGGCTTACCCGACTACAGGGCCAGGCAGAAGATGCAGGACTCTCTTCATGGCCCTGTGGATATTTATTTAGGTTAAATTTTTATAGCTTTTGGTGATGTGGGTTGCTTCGCCGGTTCTTATTGCCACCGGAATGTGGGAAATAGCTTTGCAGCAAAAGCTGTGGGCAAAATCTAGCATATATATATATATTTTAATCTAAACGCAGTCCTCCTGCTTTTCTCCCCAGCTTGGCTCAGACTTACATATCCAGCAGAGAGAAGCCTCACGTGTTCGTGCACTTGCCACCCTTCACCTTGGTGCGTTTGGAAATGGATTAAATAAAAGGTGAGAGAAGCRAGGGGGGAAAGGGAGGGCGGGCGAGCGCGAGGAGGAGCTCATCCATTACGGCGCCGTGCGCAAGGCAGGAGGTCCTGGCCTTCTGGTTTGAGTGCTTATTCCCCATAAAAYACATCTGAGAGAAATCAATACAAGAAGCATGCAAGAACTTAAATCAAAGCGCAAGGAAGCGGCACTTGGTGAATGGAGCGACCTTGCGGAGGGCTGTCAAAAGCGGGCGCCCAGCCTTGCGGATGCAAAAGCTGCTGGGGGAAGAAAATAGGAAGGTCGTCGGGCAGATTTCTAAGCCTGGCCTAGGCTGCTTTGCTAGGGGGTTGCATTGCAAGGTGCTGTTCTTCTGTGGTAAGAAGTACATGGGTAGGATGGGCTGCCTGGGGCTGGGTGAAGGGCACGGGAGTAATTTGCAGCTCAAGGTTTACTCCAGGGTGGCAAGGAGAGCGGAGTGAAATGGACCCATATGTGACTCCCTATATATGTGGGACATAAGGAGGCRAGGGGTGCAGCCAGCCTGGCTCGGAGTGATGCTCCCTTTGGCCTTCAGCTTGGGCTATTCTGGACTTTGGAGTGTGAGAGCAGCATCCAGACCTGCACCACAGGTCTATCCTTACCGTGTCCATGTACAACTGAGCCGTGCCCATGGTGAACAGGCTGCTTCCAGCAATACAGCTTGGGTTCCGTGCTGGTGGATGCTGGAAGAGCCACCTGAGCATGCAGGTGTCTGGATGCGTGACCCGATGGTGGGTCAGTGCTCCACGCTGCAGACAGCCATAAATCTGCCGAGGTTTCCTCCAGTTGAGCTGCACCTCTGCGGACTGCAGGGCACGTGTTCCCATGCTGGGAAACCTGACCCCTCGGTAGCCTGAGAGACAGGAGAAGCCGGGGCTTGGTGTTTTGAATAAGTGGCTTTTTATCTGAAATCCCGTGGGGAGCATGAGCTCAGTAACCAATGAAATTATATCTGTTGTTTCAAGCAGTGAAGAAAACTTGGCCTGATGTTTATTGAGATTTATGGCTTCCCTTGAGCTTAATTGTCTTTGGGAGCCCTGGATCTTTTTAACGGTTCAGCTAAGTGGTACTAAGAAGGATGGTAATGGTTTGAGCAGTCTGCCCCCTTAGCATCTCTCTCTCTCTCTCTCTCTCGCACAATTTGCTGATATTTGGGAAATGGAGCTGATGCTTTCCCCTCCTGAGGTCACTGGTGTGAAACTTCAAGAGGCAAAGCCAGGTGTGAAAAGCTGCCAGCGAGCGTTTCCTTCACGGGCTCCATGTGTCCATGTGCTTTGGGGTGGGAAGACAGAAGATGGGCATGGATCTACTGAGAAGAACAGGGATATGGGKCTCTGGGAGGAGGATGGCCCTACCTGGTGTTGCTCTGGAGTGGGAAGGGCCCATTTGGGATGTTGGGAAGGAGCTGGGCGCCTGAGCTTGTCACTGGGAGGAAAACATTGTCCTTCACTCGCCTGTTCCYCGCCTCCGGAGCGGTTCCAGCTCCTCTCGGTGGTGACCCCTCCTGCCTCGTTATCCCTCGCCAGCCGTGCGATGAAGCCGTAGAGCTGTCACTGTGGGGAGCGACCCGGACCTGTTTCCTCACCCCGGGAAGGTGTCGTGTGCGGGGCGGCCGCGCGGGGAAGGGGACGTTGCCGGGGATGTCATTACAGCAGCTCGTTCGGGGTCAGCGGACGCCTTCGTTAATAACCCCGGGGTTATTAGGTGGCCCGAGGTGGTCGCTCCAATCCACATCTGTGGCCTCTGCTGGTAACTGCTGGAGCTGCTGGCCGCTTCCAGCCTCCTGTGGATGGYGGTTCTCCAGAAATGCTTTGGAGCCTCTCCGTTGCTGGGAGCAGTGGGTGTCGTGCTGGTGCCGTGGATGGGTGTTTAACACCAAGGGTGTTCAGTGTTGGTGTTAAATATTTCGGCTAGTGCAACCTGGCCCAGCTTGCTGCATAAACGTGCTGCGTCGGAGGGAGGGATGGGGTTAAATTCCAGAGAGGGGCAAGGAGCGGCGAGGGGGTAGGAAGGCGAAGGGGGATCAAAGGCAGTGCCTGGAGACTGTAACCAGCCGCACCCTTCCATAAAACACCCCTCTCCTCATCCATGTCCCGATGGAGCTCCATGGCAAGCGAAAGCCTGGCCTTGCTGTSCAGGGATGCTCTGGCAAGGACTGCATGGGGAGAAGGTCGGGATGTGCAGCGAGGTCTGGTGCAAGGAGAGATGCTCAGGCCTTGGCAGCTCATGCTTTGCGAAAATAATCCTGCGTTTTTCCCCCTTTCCTGGTAGGGAGGACACCTGCCTCGGCAGCCACCTATGCATTTCCCAGGTGTTAAAGGTGTTTTCCCAGCCTGGGGAATTGAAGAGGAGGTGGCGGCTTTGGCTGTGGGTTGTTGCCGAACGAGCTCGGGGATTGCTAATGATGTTTGTGAAAGCCCTAAATTAGGACCACACACGGGAGGCTGGGGCGAGCGCTGTATCTTAGACCTGGAGGGTACGAGGCAAAAATGCTTTTGTGCCTGACTCACCCGCTCTGTGCTAACACTGACTCATAATTACTGATTGCGATTCAGACAAAAGACTTATCTGCATTCAAACATATGGAAAATGCTAATGTAACCTGGTAATGAAGAGGGAAGGTAGTGCTGGTAAGTCATCCGTGGCTCTGTGCGAGGCACACAGCAGCCTGGATTYGCTTTCCGAGGAGCGTTTGCCCATGAGGATGGGATGAGCCTTCCAAGGATGGCCGAGGGGCTGGCCCTGCTTCTCCTGCACAAAGTTGGGTTGTACACAAGAGGTTTTGGATTGCAAAGCTGCAGGTGCTGCCCTGGGACCGGGGACAGCCCTCCCTGTCCCGCTGTGCTCCCTGCAATGTTATATGGTTTTCTCCAGGGAGCTCCCYGTGCAGAGCAAATCCCAGCCCTAGGAATGTTCCTGTGTCCCTGCGGGAGCATCTGGCCCATTTCCCATGGGCTGAGCTTGACCTGCTCCCTTTCCAGCCCTGAACGTGGCTCTGGGGAGGGAGATGCCTTGACAGGCAGCACGTTAGAGCTGCAAGTTGGGCCAGTGCAGCTGTGATAGGTGCTGCTCAACAGCCGATCCTGCAAAACCAGCAGGAAAAGCCACTTGCAGAAAGGGCCAAGGGAATCACGTACCCTTTAATCCCATACCCCATAGAATCCCACACCCTTTAATGGGGCAGGGAATAATCCCAGTGCCTGGACGGAGCTTGGGGAAGGGGAGCTGGATGCTGCCCCTCGGCCCCAGCTCTGCTCTTGGCCTTCTCTCGGCAAGAAGTGGCAGCAGGAGGCGAGTGCCCCGTGGCCTCCACTTGTGGAGCCGGAGGGAGGTCTAATCCTGGGATATCTCTGGTCCGGAGCCGCCTCCTGCCCTGCCTTCGCCCTGTGCCACCGTGCCCCCCTGCTGCTCAGCCCTGCTGGATGCTCAGTGCAAACTTCCCCCCGGTGCCAAGTGTTAAAAGCTTATCAAGCTGATAGAGCATCTTCGGAGGTGCGTGCGGGAGGCAACATGTTACCCTAACGAAGGAGCAGCTGGAGCTGGCACTGGGCTCCGCTGCAGCTCCCTGCTCCTTTCCCAGCGCTCCGGCACTGCCTTCCCGGTGGGATAGCAGGGAATGATGCTGGGCAGGGCTGGTCCTCGCTTTGGAGGGCACGGTGGTGGCCTCCAAACAGAACTGAGTTGGTGATTCCTCTGCAAAGCCCAAGCCCTGGTGGGAGTTGGTTCCTGCTTCTGCCTTTGCTCGGCCTGGAGCAGAGCCCCTGCACAAAACCCCATCCTTGCAAATTCCCTTGAGCTCCTTGACTTTCCAACCCTGGCTAAGTCATCTCAGCAGTAGATGTTTGTATCGTGACCTACATTGCTATTGCATTTTAAATATATATTTTACTGTGATATAAGCTAGCTTCCCACATGCAAATTGCTCTGAGTGAACCATTTATCTGGGAAATAAAGGTTATGTTCTCAAAAAGACATTTAGTTCCCTTTCTGAATGATTGAGCTAGTTTTCTACTGAGAAAACAAAGGTCTTTAGCACAGTCCAAACCAATGATGGGGGAAAAAGGTTCAGGTAAAACCTCTCCATTTATTTAATGCCTCCCCCCTCTTTCATATTTACAAGTTAAAAGGGGCTCCATCAGCCCATTAGAGCTGAAATACATGTCCTGTTTTCAAGGAAAGTAAGTCCCATCTGGCATCCCTGGAGGAATATAACCTTAACTCCATCTTAGGGTATCTTACAGATTCTGCCAGATTTACCTGCCTTAAAGGGAGATTGATTTCGGAAGTAAACAGTCTCAGGTGACAAATCTCCTTCTACAGGTGACGTTGAGGAGGATATCTGGGGTATCCGTGTCTTGCTTGATCCCGGGAATCTCTGTCCAGATGCCCGGGAGATGGTGCTAATGGTGAGGTGGCTTGGGAGCAAGGGGATGGAGAAAGTCTTGGTGGGTGGATGTGAGCCCCRGCTGCTGTAGAGAGTGAGACAAGCAAAGTTTTTAAGGAAAGAAAGGCTGCTTCAACATCCATCTGAGCAGTTGCTTGAGGAGTTTTTGATGTCTGTGCCACTTGGCAACCTTTGGAAGTGCCAGGCTTTGAGTTTGCAGCTCCCCAGCGGCATGCACTGCAGTCGCTGTGTTTCTGCAGCACCTTCAAAGCACKGGCAATAAATCATATTTGCAATAAATATTGCTATTAGAAATAATATTTCACCTGTGGTTAGCAAGCAGTCTATTCTCATTAATATATTAGAATTAGAATAGAATCTTGGGCATCTACACATCTCTTCTTGCGACTTGCCATGCTCCAGGGTGTTGTGTCCACCAGGAGAAGCCACCTGCCTGGCACGGGCTACCTGTGTCCTTGTCACCCCAGCAAGAGGGAAGGGAATGCAATGGAAGCTGCAAATGCAAATTGTCCCCAAGTGGCCCAGTGGGGACTTGGGGGGACTCAGCTGAGATATTGGGGCTCTTCCCCACTTTCCTGTCGATGCACCAGGCCAGATGCGTGTGGCCTGGGAGGATGCAAGGAGCACTGCATTTCCTATGGAAACAAAACCAAAATAAGCATYGGAACGGGGGGTTCTGCAGAAGGAACCCAGTGCATTTTGAGTCGGGGTCCCCAGGCCTGGGGAAGGGCCCGGCCGCCCTTGCTCTGCGTTCCCTGCCCGCATCCCGGGGCGCTGCGGATGCGTGCTGCCCGGGCAGGGGTGAGAGGGCACGGAGGGCACAGCCCATCTCCTTGCCGCCCAACTGGCTGGCCTGACTGGTTTTTTATGATTATTTCTCATTCTGTCTCCAGTTAGGCAATACGCTTGCCTGTTAGAAATATTGCCCTGGGCTGCCAGCTCAGCGAAGGAGAAAAGCATTTATTTTTTTAAAAAAAGAAAAAAAAAATACGCGGGAAAGTTTGGGAATTGCCTTCTAGCCCAGGGTGGGCACCTCTCCCTTTCCCCTGCAGCTGCCCAGACCCTCAGCTTCAGATAATTCCCTCCAGCAGGATCCTGAGGTGAGTGTCCTTGCAGGGGGGTGGTTAATGCATCCAAACCCTCTGCAGCCGGAGGATGGCTCGGCAGGACTCGCCGGGCTGGAGCCGCTGGATTTCAGCCCAGCTGGTAGTTGGGGATCATTAACCATCAAGGTGCCCCTGGGAAGAAGCAAAAAGGTATTTGGGAAAATTTGCTAACAGACTCTAATGACTTAATAATCCCTGCCGGAGAGAGCGCGGCGGGTTACGTGAATGTCAAGTTTGTTTGCTTTGCAGCCCGCCGGCGGCTGGTTATGTAAGGGGAGGTGTGACCTCCCGCGCGGGGGACGAGGGACGGAAAGGAAAGTGCTGGAGAAGCCCCTAGGGCTTCCCGGGAGCTGCCAGGCTGGAGCGTCGCTTCCAAGGAGTTTTGCATCYGCCGCTGCGCACTGGGATGCAGGCAGCGGGCGCTGCCTTTCCCTGCGCTGCTCTTCCCAAAGCAGCTCCAGCTCCGGGTTGCACCTTTGCAAACGGAACACTGGGCTGTGGGACCAAAGGGAATGCTCCCTTTGGAATCGGGATGTCCTGGAGGTTGGAGCTGCTGCAGTTGGAGGAGAAAAGGCAACTCTGGGATAGCGTGCAAAGCAGCTCTGATAAAGGGAAAAAAAAAGAGAGAAAAAAGGAAAAAGGCTTCTGAGGCTTAGGGCTGGATATTTAAACACTCAACATAAAGGATATTTCTGCATTGAAGTAATAAGCGTGACTCAGGAAACCAATGGGGAAAGGGTATTCCCTTTGCAGCAAAACCTCAAAAGATCAAAGCGCCTCTTGAGCGGTTTAACATTTCGAATGTTAAATGAATCGGTCTCTCCTCCCTCTCCCCTTCACCCCTGCCTGAAAATTTTGAGGAGTAAATGGTTTAATTGAGGCTGAAAGGGAGCGCTTGGGAAGTTCAGGCAAAGTGCGGAAGCGTTCCCGGGACACGCGCGGTCCAGGATCAGCTTGGTGGGATGTAGGGATGCTGGTTCTCCATGCTTGTGTTTTTCCTGCTTTTGTGGTAATTTGTCATTTTTTTCTCCTTGCTGGCACCTTCCAAACCTGTTCCTACCTGCCCAGGTTGGAGGTCTTCCCTCCTACCCGTGTAGCACTGGATAAGGGGGTACTCAAGTCCTATAAGCGCGACTTGCCCAGTCCCCCCTTGCAAATAGCCTCTCTGGGAAACGTTATCCTGGATTTCATAGGGAAGCAGCATTAGGGGAGGTGATTAGCATTGAGGTGAGGGGATGCTCYGGGGCTTCTGGCCATTCCCGTTAATGCACATGGAAAAGCTCAGCTTTGGGCACAGAGGAGCATGCTGCTTGGCTGTTGTTTTGGTGGACGTGAGCCCAAGGCTTGGGAATATGCTGGAAATGCTGGCAAATGCATGGGGGAAAAAACACAGAGAAGCAGAGCACTGGATCCCTATAAGCTGTTCTCCTTGGAGAAGCATCTCCTGGCATTTATTTGCATGGAAGCAGCAGGATTCAGACCTCAATGGCAGCCAGGGAAGGATGGAGCCRTGTCGGCGGCACCCGCACGCCGCCGGGATCGATAGGCTGGAGTAATATATAGCAGCAAGATAACAAATCACTTCGCTTATTGGGCCTTAATTAAGCCTCCTTTATCTGGGTGACAGCCACGCACCTGGGCTACGGCCCCGGCGAGCGCCGGCGGTGCCAGCGCCCGTCCCCCGGGATGGAGGAGCGCGCGGAAAGGTGGGTTTATCCCTGCCAAGGCCTCCTTGGGGTCTCCCGGGTAATGGATACAGTTGTTAGAGGCCCTGACAGCGCGAAATGAAGACCTACATCACGGCAAGGCAGCGGGCGCCGCGGCGCCGAGATGAATGAGGGCAATATCGGAGACGGGGGACGCCGGGGAAGGGCCCTTCGCTCCCGGCTTTTTGTGCAAAAAGGGCATTTTTCACCCGTGACGCGGCGGGTCCCCCGGCGGCAGGGAGGGCGCYGCGAGCGCTGAGCGAAGGGCCGGGATGCTCCTGCGAGGAGTTCACGCGGTGGGGACGTGGCTGCATTCCCGCTGCACCGCCGGGCAATTTATGGGGTTGGAGAGAGCGGCACCGATTTCAGTCATTGCGACCCAAGAGAGGGACCTGCTGGATCCGGGTCCAGCAGGAGCCTCGTGTGTGCAGCCGTGGTGCACTGAGGCAGTGGCTGAAAGCAGGGCAGTTTCTGCTCTGCTGGGGCGCTCGCGAGGAGAGCGGGACTGCCAGCCAAGCGGCGCCGCTTCCCAGTGCCCAAACACTTCGCCGGAGCCAGGGATGCCCGTCGGCTCCGCGTGCAATAGCAGTTTGCAGCCCTGTAGTGTCGATCACCGCAGAGCAGCGGGATGCGGCGCTGCTGGGATGGGCTGAGCGCATGGAGCTGGGATGTTTTTCCCTGGCTGCTGGCAGAGCTCTGCACCTTGAGATGCTGGGAAGCTCGGATGTTAAGGGAATATGAGTGGTGGTGTTTTCCTCTTTCCTTTTACCCAAACCTCCTTTTCTCATCCCCAAAACACCAGGAATGTGGTCACTGGGAGCATTTGGCATCTCCTCTTTGTTGAGTCTCGGCATTTCCCACCATCGGGCTTCTTGTCCTGAGGATGTCCCATCGGGAATGTGGCAGCTTCACCGGCACCAGGATGGGAGACACAGGAGCTTGGATGCTCCGAACACTGCAGCTTCCAGCAGCCCCCAGCCAAGGGTGGCACCTGCAGCATTCCCATATGGTTCCCTGCACCGGGAGAAGCTGGAGCGGGACCTGGCATCGGGAAGCAGCGCTCGGCTCCCGCTCATCAGCACCTTCCAGAGAGGAGCGCCGCGCAAGCCGGAGCTAATTGAGCAGGCGGCTCTGAAGGACGTACTACATCTCCATGGAAAACTGCTTCAGCGAGGCTGCTCGGGATAATAAACAAAGCACTTGGGCAGATGATAGGGCATTTAAGTGTTTACTCTTCAGAGCATTAAGTGCTAAATTTGTTTTTAGCTCCCTTATGAGAAGCCCTTGCGGAGGGAAAGCGCACGAGGGTCTCGGTTGTATGGAGCATCCATGTCCAGCCCAGCACCTCGGCTCCATGCCCTTGGGGACATAAGGATGCACTGGGACGGTCTCCAAGGGTCCCTGGGGTTTAATGTGACCGTGAAGAAAGGAAAATGCGGAAGAAAAAGGGTTTGCTCAGTGAAGGGAAAGGAAAGGGACAGCTCGCAGTGTTATACTCACTGCAAGGAAAATTGGAGAAGGAAGATGGGACTGTGCTTGGGATGTGCTCAATGCTGGGTGGTTCTCCTGCCTTAAGAAACAGAATGGAAAAAAATAAATAAATAACAGAAAAACTCGCCCTTTGCAAAGCTCGCACCCCACCAGGCCAGCACAAAGGCAGAATTAGCAGCCAGCAAAGAGGGACCCAGCAGCAAGGAGCCCGTGAGTCCGAACCCGGTTTTGTCGCACGGGAGCCCGTGCAGGACGGCTCCCAAACCAGTTCAGACAGGGCGTTCTCCAGCAACGTAGGGAAGGACAGGGGAGCAGGGCTGCTGTGTGCGCGCGGGGCCTTTTCGAGGCGAAAGCGCCACTTTTAGCCCAATTTGGGCCGTGTCTGAGCACGCTTCCCCCGCGCATCGTGGATTCAATTACGCCGCGCCGCGTTGCCCGTTTCTGTTAAATTTTAACTCGTTTCACATGGGCTGCGTGAACTTTGCCTGACATTTGGAGGCAGGCAACTTGTGTCATCAGGTTACGCTCACACTTATCTCTGCAAATATATCCCTTGTACCCAGCGCAGCCCCCCCTCTTCCCAACCCGTGCGCCCTCCTCATCCTCCCGGGATGAAGGCTCCGGGCTTGAGCGGTGGGAAGTGGCCGGCCCTGCTGATCAAAGGCCTCGCCACTGTTGTTTTAGAGGTGACACGGACATTTAAGGGGCTTTTGAAAGCCCAGCCTTTGCCGTAAAAAGCCAGACACCAGGCACGGAGCGACTGCAACGCGGGTTTAACGACAGTGAAACGGCCTTTTGTTYCTCAGCTCCAAGAAGAACCACAAGCCTGTTTATAGTGTTTATAATAAAGCCTGCGAAACCTTTTACACGTAATCCTGTAAAGTGAGACCCGCGGGCTCTGGCGGTGCCGAACGAGCCCCAGGGCGGGCAGAGCCGGCACGTGGGCTGCTCGCTTGGGTTCCCAACCAGGACCCACGTTTTATCCCAGACTATCCCAGTCTGGACTATCCCAGGGTCGTCCAGATGTCTCTGGAGGATGTGACTGGTACTAAGTTGTGCTGCTGAGCAAGTGGCAGAGCAAGTTTGGGCATGGYGTGGTTTGACATGGAATGGCTCTGCATGGCTTGGTGTGGTTCAATGTGGCATGGTGTGGCATGGCTTGCCATAGCTTGGCATGGCATGGCATGTCTCAACACGGCTTGGCACAGCCCACCATGGCATGTCTTGGTATGGTTCAGCATGGCACAGCATGTCTTAGCGTTGTTTGTCACGGCTTGGCATGGCTTGGTATAGCTCCGTATGGCTTGATATAGCTTGGCATGGCATGGTTCAGTATGGCTTGGTACAGCTTGGCATGGCTTGGCATGACCCAATATGCCTTGGTATAGCTCAGAATGGCTTGGCACAGCTTGGCATGGCAATGGCATGGCTTGACATGTAGGATATGGCTCGACATGGCTTGGTACASCTTGGCATGGCAATGTTGTGGCTCGGCATGGACAGACAGGGCTCAACATGGTAGGACATGGCTCAAAATGGCTCAACATGGCTAGGTACAGCTTGGCATGCCTTGGCACAGCCTGGCATGGCTTGGCATGACTCAACATGACTCAATGCAGCTTGGCATGGCTCAGCACAGCTTGGCATGGCAATGTCATGGCTTGGCATGGCCGGACATGGCTCAGCATGCCATAGCACGGCACAACAAGGCACAACACAGCTCAGCATGGCACAGTATGGCTCGGCACCCACCCTGCTCCTCATCCTGTTGAGTCTTAGAGCATCTTGGTGCCCCAAATACCCCTATTTTATGGCCAGCCCTGCGTACCTGGAGGCACCAAACCCCCGTTTGCACCCCGGGGCTCCCCAGGACATGCAGAATCCCGTGCACAACGTGCCAGTCCGGGCACAGCGGCCACGCTCCGCTTATAAATAACCTGGAAAGGGGAGCCGGGCAGGGAGCTACTGCGCTGGCCCCGAATACCTCTCCTGCCTCTAACTGTGTGCATTCCCGGAGCTGGGAAAGAGCCAGGGAAGGGAGCATGGATGGAAATGGGAGCTGGGTGCCTTCCATCTCCATAGGGATAGGGCTTGGGAGGTCTATASGGACCGGGCGCAGTGTCCAGCATTCCCAGGCTCCCGGCCATCCAGCCGGGACCTCCTGCTCGGAGCAGGGCTGGGAGCCAGTGGCTGCTGTGAGCCTGGAGCAAGGAGCATCGCTCCCTCCTGCCTTTTCCAGGGCACGGCCGCCTACATAAATTAGGAATGGGAATGTGCGGGGGTGGGGGAGACGGGCGAGGGGGGAACTGGCCGCCTGGAAGTGACCCAGACCCAGGGAACAGATGCAACTCATAGCGTTAATGAGGGKTTTTTTTCTATTTTTTTTTYYTYYTTTTYYTTYCYTTTTTTTCTTTCCTTTYYCCCCCCCCCCTTCCAAAAGGCACCGCGCTGTTGAGAACCGGGGGCTTTTCTATCCCATGGCAACACCGAGCGAGGGAAAAATGGGCCCGGCTTTTATTTCATTTTTTTTGTCCTTTACAGGAATCACTGGCAAACAAAAGCCCGGAGCAGATTTATCATTTTTCTTTCTCCCCCACCCCCTCCTTTTCTTTCCTTTTATATTTTTTTAAAATAGGGTTAGAGCAAGATGGATGGTTCCCCAGGCCCGGGGAATGAGCAGAGAGAGGCAACCCTGTCGTCTCCGGCATCCCATTAAGCCGAGCTCGGGGAGGAGGCCGCCCCAAGACTTATTAAACCTGCCCCAGCCCAGACCCCGATCCCTTCTCCCAGTGCCGCCGGCGCCTTTCCCGCGCATCCCTCTGGGAACGCTGCCATGGGCAGGGACTGCTCCAGCCCGGCAGGGTGACAAGTGGCTGGCGGTGCTGGCAGCCCCCGGCAAAGAGGAGGACAAAGGAGAAAAGAGGCAAAAAAGGGGAAAAAAAAACAAATAACGGGAATGCATCAGGGCGCTGGCTGCGGCGGGGATGGGGAGGATGGGGGCTGCCACCAGCGCGGTGTGGATGCTGCTATTTCTACTTTAATACTTAACAGGGGTTTAAAACCCGCCCGTGGTCAGAGTTTGTTCTTAGCGATAAATTTTGAATAGGTTTTCAATTATGGATGTGCCTCCGTCGGGGAGGAAGGGCCGCGACGCCRGAGCAAAGCCGGAGCAGCCGGCGTGCCCGGAGCCGCGGCCGCATCCGCCGGCACGGCGGGATATAGCGTTACGGASGCGATAGGATCGGATCGCATGGCAAACCACGGGCTTCACACCTCCGATACGGATCACTCGGGACGTGGAAAATCACAGGGCGGAATCGCAGGGCGGCGGATGCTTCAATGGGCTCCCTCCATCAATAAGGGTAATGCCTATATCCACACGCAAGCACATGCACGTGCAGATATATGTCTGCGTGCACATCCTGATAGCCACACAGAGGGATTTGCATGGAAAATACACTCGTGCACAGGGGTTGGGTTGCCCAGCTCCCATTGCCTTGCAGTTACAGCCGGCCCCTGCTCCCGCATTCCCAGCCRGACACATATTCCCCGCGGCAGCAGCGATGGAAATTTCAGCTAAAAAATCCCCCAGCGCCTGGAAAGCTCCATCTCCCACCGAAACCCCTGTCTGCAAGAGGCGATTTCATCTGCCCGTGGAGAGCACCAGCTGTTGGTGCTGCAAAAGCCGGGCGGATGCAGGGGTATCCCTCCCTTTTCCCTGGCAATGCCGAGCAAGGTGATCATCACATTACAGCATCAYTGGGGCTGCGTTTCCAAGCAGAATGGCCAATAAATGCGCATGAAGTTTGTACGTGTGTCTGAACCACACAAAAAGTGAAGGAAAACGGCTGGTTATCGCTATGCTAATTCATAAACCAGGCTGTTCCAGCCTGGCCCCTTACSTCATTCGTGATTCCTATTTACTAGTAAAAGTGATGTTTTTTAAGCAAGGATTGGGCCCCCATTGAGCCAGATTTAATAACAAAAGTCTCTGCGGGAGAGAGCACCGTAATGAAGTAACAGGCACGGAGCTGAGCACAACCCACATCATTACTTGCAATAACATTTTATTTTACCTTTCACTCTCCCAGCACTCCCGGCATCTCCAATTACGCCGGTTTGGCCAGATTTATAAGGAAACCCCAGCCCCATGCTCATCGGTTGGTTATGAGAAAAAAAGCACCTCTCAAGACCAAGAGCTAAACATGGGCACCTGGGTGAGCAGCGGCTCGTGTTGTGCAGCACTGGGTGTAATGGGATGGGTTTAATGCAGCGGGTGCAGGTTGCAGCTGGGAGATCTRGTCTGGTCTTTGCTCAGAAATGGTGCTTTTCATTTATTTTCACACCTTTGACTTCTTCCTTTTCCCCTCTTTCAAACTTTGCGGATGCTGCTGGGTTAGTCCATCCCACTACTGAAAGCTGCAGCCCTCCAACTGAGTGTGGATGAAACCCTGGATAAAAAGGGAGCAATAAATAAGTGCAGAAATAGGTGCAATGGGAGCAACACCTGCATTGCAAAGGGATTTTGAGTGTGTGAAAGAGTGACCACACACCACGGGTGCCAAAGCTAATTGCCAATCCTCCACCTTGTGTGATCGGCTCCTGCACCAAGGAGCAGGGTTTGCATGGCAGGAATATCCAGAGCGATTGATCCTGGAGATCCTGATTGATCCATGGGATCCTGAACCCTGCGCCAGCTACAAAACTGTAGCAGCAGAAGCAAGGGCAGATCAGTTGTTTGGGACTCCAATGAGTCCCTTTGCTCTGCCACCCCGCAACCTGCTGCTGCTGCAAATACCTCCTAAGGAGCCAAGKTTTTACCGCTATTCCTGCAATTTCTTCAGCACGACGGTGTTTCCTAGYGCGGCGTGGACTGATCAACTGCATTTCTGTGGCCTTCGCAGCAGTGGGACCTGAAGCTGCTCCGAGTGGCATTGCAAACAGACGTTCCCAAGCAGCCAGGAGAAAGCGGTACCCGAGCCGCTCGTCAGCCCGTGATGTGACATTTCGGTGCCAAATGCTTTCCYGTTCACGCGAGCCTGGTTGGAATTTGGGTCTGTCGCATTTACGAAACAAAAACGCTCCAGATAACGTTACAAACCCTCCTAGCTCTTTGGAAAGTTAAGGTTAAGCTGGGAAGGGCTGGTCTAGAGGTTTATGCCCTGCAAAGAATCATCCCTCCACAGTAGTCAATGCCCCGTGAGGCTGGGAAGTTGCTTCCAATGTCCCGTAGCGGAAATGGCAGCAGGATCTGGCCCCCACATGCTTCTCTTCCTCCCCTTGTTCTGCCATCTCTTTCCAACATGTTTATGTTGGATGGGCTCATCATTTACCCTGGAAATCCRTGCAATGTGTCTCTCTTACTGAGCTCTGCAGCGTCAGCAGCTGGTGATCCGAAACCCCGGTTGCATCTCGGAAAGGCAGCCAGGGAAGCAGGGATGCGGCGACTGAGCAGCCAGGAACAGAGATTGCTCTTTGAGAGCAAAACGAAGCACCCGCGATGCTAAATGCAGGGGGAAAGGGAGCACAGGGACTCCCTTCCCGACCCTTGGCTGGAGCCGAGCGGGGATTTTCTGGCAGTCGCTTTTCTGCTGGGAAATCCCAGTTAGTTTTGCAGGGAAAGGCCCACTGAGATGTGGGCTGGGATGGAGGAGGAGGAAACTGAATTGCACAGCTCAGCACCAGCACTTGGGTTTACTTGCTYGTGCTGAGCCGGGCAGGACAAGACCTCCTGCCTCAGAGTAAATCCCAATCTTCAGTCTGGGATCCCCCACCTTTTCATGAGGAAACAGGAGATCTCTGCTTCTTTTGCCAATGCAGAACAGGAAAGAAATAAACTCTGTTTGGGGAGCGTATTGATTTTGCTGGGATCTTGCAGGGGAGAGTTTGCATCCTGCCCGCAGGGACAGCGAGGCTGCCGACGAGCATGGAGCCTGACCTACTTACAGCCCGGGCCCTGGGACTTTCGGGAATCCGTCCTCTTGGAAGCACAAAGTATGATTTTAGGGCACTAAAAACGCAGGCTGGGCTGTCACTGCAGTCCCCGCCAGGTCCCTGAATCCAGGATTGCTTGACCTGCCTCCGAGGGCGCTTGCCACTGCATAGCAATGCACGGGCTCCATTAACAAATCAAATTGCCTCTGATGTGCTTCTCATTGCATCTCAGGCCGTACGCATCATTATTTCATTTAAAAGATGGAATTTGTTTTCTCTTCCCTTAATTCGAGGCCCCAAAATC